AGTCTTTCCCTTGTCACCGTGATCCTTAGTATTAGAAATCTTTTAATACTGAAGTTGTTCAGGTATTGTCTGCTTATATTTTTGTTACCTGATTTTAAATCTGAGCTTGAAACAAAGCTTAGGCTTGAAGTTCTTTCCGTTGCAGTGTAAAACTAAGATACTGAGCTCTCATCTAATACGGGAGGAGAAAAACTGCATTTGCCATTTAAGAAATACCCTAGCTAGCAGACTATTAGAACTGCCTTTGCAGTCTGCCAGGAGATTGCATGGATTCTGTCAAAACAATGAGGACAACTTTAATTTACCTTATTTGCCACTAGAAGGGTTCTTTTGGTCTCATTAGTTTTTAAACCTTCAGCCTATGAGTTTCTGAAATAAGTACATTCTTGGGCAGAGAGGCTGTAAGGCCAGTGTTGTGTCAGGGAAAATGGATTACTGATTCCCAGTTGTTCCTTCAGTGCTGCTCCTCTGCTGCCATTGTTGGGAAAGAGAGTAAAAGAATGGTTTATTGGCAGGCAAAATCCAGATATTTGAGAAACAATCTTTGACCTTAAAGCGGAGAGAGCTGCCTGATCACAGTTAAGATAGTGAACATTTTGATACAGTTTGTGGAAACACCGGCTTGTGCCAGTATCTCTTACAAGTGCAGTAATTTGAGGCCTTTGCTTTTATTTTTCAATAAATAGTCCTTTTTAACTTTTGGATTTCATTTGATCCGTGTTATGTATTTGAGCTAGCAGTGTTAATGGATAGCACAATATTCACAACTGACCAAAAGCCAAGAACACTATTTAAGCCAAGACATGCGTCTTAAGTCATCGTTGGGATTTACAATCTTGCAGCTCTTGGGTTTGGATCCAGGGACTCTTTAATTCCTTTTTGTCTTTCTGATGACATTTTATTTCATATGACCTTCCTTGAAACCAGAAGGAACGGATCCACAGAACTTACAAAGCAGCTCTGATCAGAAACTGGAAGATAGTGGAGTCTCCAGTGCTGACTGGTTGATGCAGTTGCCAGCAGTAGAGCTGCAATGGGCTCTTGGCTCGGGGTCATTAGAAGAAAATTTCTGCCAATTTTAATTGGAAGTATTGTGAGAGTTTTCCCAGGAGGTATGGTTGCAGAACTTCTGTCCGACAAGAGCCTGTGCAGTTACTCTTCAGTTCTCAGGGTAAAAGCGCAACAAACCAAGTTTTCCACAGTATGCCACATGTCTGTAGTTCCTAGCTGGGACAGTCATTCCTCTTGAAGCCTCATCTGTGTTTCAAATTTCCTGTGGCTCCAAAGATGAGTACTTATCTGGACTAATAATGCTAATTTGAGAAACAGACCTCTGTTTTGGTTTTACTTCTTTCTTTTGAAGATACTGCTCAATTAGTTGAACAATGTTTCAGATCTTAAGTTGCGGCAAACTGGTATTCTTTCATTTTGAGGCAGAGTCAAGGCTTTGGTCCCAGAGATTCCCACCTACCTAACTGCCACATACCTATGCAGGTAATTAGTGTCGGTACAAAAGGACTTGTATGTAGCTGACTTCTAAACATAACAGGAGTTGTATTTTGATTGTCTATCTGTATTGAGAAAGGTAACTTGAACAGCAGGGCAATTTATCCGATCACATTGGGGGGTACTTAGTACACCATACATACCCATAGTTTTTTATACTTTCATTTATATGTCGATGAAGAAACATGAATGAGCTCATACTCTTAGTATTTACAGCTGAAGCACTGTACCGACTCAAAGACAGTATGCAAACAGCCAGGATCTCTTCAGGGGGAACCTGAAAGAATTAGGTGACTTCTACTGGCACTGGTAGATGTTTGAGCCCTGTCTGCACTGCTCTGAAGTGCACAGAACTTTACATACAGAAGATGTCCACCATCTATTAAGCAGGGTAAGCCAGCATTTAAATGCCACTCTTGAGGTTTTGCAATGTAGTTGTCATATCTCTTTTTTTTCTTTTTCCTTTTTTATTCTTTTTTCCTTTTTTTCTTCCCCCAACTTTCTTCTCCCCTTCTCCCCCCCATTTTTAATCTTCCCCCCCCCCCCAACAATAGTTGGATGTGGCAGAACACTTCTGAAATCTCAGCAATTTTGGGTCAAATCTGAAACCAACTGGAGGATACATTTTTGCCAGCTTCTTTACTGGACTGAAAACAGCCTATCTAAGTTTTGAGCTATTACTTCAGTGTCAAATACAATTACAAATACTTTGTATTTGGAAGAATATGTACAATTTTTTTTGCAAGAGTTCATCTTTGTGTAATTGCAACTAATACATCTTTAAAATTATTCATTTAATTGAATTTTTTTATTAAGTGAGCATTAATGAAGGCATCTATCATGAAATAACCCAGGTGGTTTTAATCACCTAATTTGTTAGTATAGGTGATTTCACAGATACTGTTCTGAAAGCATTCATTTTACTTAGCATACCAAGATGCTGCCTACCTCTGGGTCTTCAACAGGAATTTTCTTGATTCTCAAGTTTTTCTTCTTCTAAGAGGTTTTTGGGGCTGGGTTGCTGGGGGGGGGGG